TCGTCTCCTCCCCAAAACCCCTCAGCAGGGGGGTGTTCTGTTGCCAGCCGATGGACTCTGAGTCTCCACTCTGCAGTCACCCACCTTTACAATGACATGATTTCTTGTTCCTTGATGCCTGACACCCGATCCCTTCGACAGCTCGTGGTCACACATACCGGTGTGCTTCTTCCATGTGGGCTTTGTTGCTTCTGAGCTAGTTGGCCGCTTGTTTATCTTCAAGCCTTTAAGACCCCAGATGCTATATCTTTTGATAGCCAGGCTCCATCAGCTTTCTTCAGCACCTTTGCTTATGCACACCTTTGTTTTCAGTGATCGTTATCAGGAAAGTGGGCACCCACTGATCTGATTTTTAGTTCTTTGATGTCTGATAACTGGTCCCTTCTGCACCTCGTTGTCAGACAGGCTGGTGTGCTTCTTCCATGTGGGCTTTGATGCTTCTCAGCTGGATGGCCGCTTGTTTATCTTCAAGCCTTTAAGACCCCAGACGCTATATCTTTTGATAGCCGGGCACTAGCTTTCTTCACCACCTTTGCTTATGCACACGTTTGTCTTCAGTGATTGTGTCAGTATAGCGGACACCCACTGATATGATTTTAAGTCCTTTGATGTCTGATAACTGATCCCTTCTACACCTCGTGGTCAGACAGGCTGGTGTGCTCCTTCCATATGGGCTTTGTTGCTTCTCAGCTAGATGGCCACTTGTATATCTTCAATCCTTTAAGACCCCAGACGCTGTATCTTATGGTAGCCGGGCACCATCAGCTTTCTTCACCACCTTTGCTTATGTTCACATTTTTCTTCAGCAATCGATTCAGGAAGGTGTGCATCCTGGAATGCCAATTTAAAAGAACAATGTGTTCTTGCAATGAGTAAGTGCTTGAGTGGAGGCCCAATGTCCATCTGCTGCCTTAATACTAAACCTATAAATGTATGCACGTAGATCTGTTTCCCCACACTCTTATATATATTTACATTCCAGTCTTTAAACCTCTATACATACCCTTTGTCCCCTAGTTCTTTCCTCTATTTCCCTTTACTTTCCTCTTGTCCCACTATCATGGTCAGCCTTCATTTGGGTTTCAGTGATTTCTCTGTTACAATGCCCTTGCTGAATCCCTACCAGGCCTCTCACACCCTCCTTGCCACTGTTCTTGGATCACTTGTTGCTCCCCTGTCCCTGGGTTGGTCAGCACCACCTCCTTACCCCCGTGTTCCCCTGGAACCGTTGGTCCCGTTGTTTTCTCCTCCAGACTGTTCATCCAGTCGATCTATCTAGATAGATCTGTAGCGATACTAATATGCATAAAAACCAAGCCATAGCAAGATAGGCAATCAGTGAGAGCACAGCGATAGCAACAAAAAAGGAAACCAATTACCCATAGAGGAATGTTAATTACGAAAAAAAAATTTTAGGCAGAAAGAAAAACCTGTATATAGATCAAGGTCTGATTTTTTTATCTCTAGGCGTGTTCTTCAGTCAGGACGGATGGAGTACCATACTCTGGCCCCCAAGTCTGTCCTTTGTACTCCCTTGGGGGCTCTCTGCTCTGCTCCCATGGTTGCTTTGCCACACGTTTTTTGTGGTTTGCTTCGGTGTCTCAGGGTCAGTCTGGAGGCCATTAACTTAGTTGTGTCAGCAAGCCTGGTAAAATTATGTTGATCTCCCAAACAGAAAAATTGACTTTCAACAATTTTCCTTTAAATGGCTTGTGCCTTAGTTTTGATATTTGTTTTATAATGAATGCTGTAGTCATTAATGAATAAACAAGTATTAGTAAGCACTGTGTCCTGTACAACAGATCATGAAAAAATGAAACTTGATACATGCTTAGGAAACTTCTCATGTTCGATGAATAGTAACATTTCCAGTATTGGGGGATGTTTGATATACATTATATTAAATTATTATCCATATTAGAATGATAATATACGGTCAATCGCATCTGTGTATATGCCAAAATATTTAAAAATTATATTGTTTACAAAATGTCCAGCCTAACTCTGTACCTAATTGCGATACAGCTAAAAAGTAACTTGACTGCATTAGTTGCTGTGGTTGAATATTCAAGTTCCCTTCCTTGGATGAGTCATCTGGGAGTGGAGCTTCCAATGGTTGTTTACCGGGGTGGGGGTGTGCGTGCAAGAGCATCTCCTTGTGTTTGTACCATGGCACAAAGCACTGCTGGTCGTCCAGGCTGAATCAAAGCCCTGCCGTCTAGCAGTGTAGGAAAAGAAAATCTGCCACTCAGGTTCTGGTTTGTACATGCATGGGTTTCTTCCAAGCAAAAGATGTTTAAACGTGTCTCTGAAATCCATAAATGGCCGCAAATGAGTTCTTTCAGTAACACTTGTCTTAATCTCATTAAGTTGTCTTTAGGGGGGATAAAAAGGTCAATAAAACCAGTGACTACCGAAGGGATCTACTGGACCAGTTACATTCAAGGCAGCGAGGGTGGCTCAGAAGGTTCTGACAATTGCTTTGGGATTCCTGAAGGGTAATCTGGATAGATTTTCTCCAAGGACACAGAATGATCAAGCGGGCTGGGAGGGGCACGTTTTAAGAAACTAGAGAACTGCCTCCGTGAGGAAGAAGCCAATGAATTCTTGTCCCACTGACAATGCATCTGCTCTTCTGCGAGAGCTGCAAGAGCTGTTCTGGAGGGTTTTGTTGGGAAACCTTACCATCCAATCTGGATCTTTCCCCTTCAGATTGTTTGTTCCCCAAACTCAAAGACCATTTAAATGGAGCGCAGTGTGAGTCTCTGGAGGATGCCCGGACTGCCTTTTTGACGTGGTGTGAATCAGTGAGCAAATATTCTCCAGAAGGATGAGTGACATGGAAACATTACCGTAGATTGAGGATATCTTGAGAAAGCATAGCTCTACATTCTAACCTGTTGCTGCTTAATAATTGGTTTTATGATTTCAGAGCAATACTTTCCCACTTATTTTGTTGTCAATATAACCCATTCTTTCCCAGCAGTCTTTCACGCTGGACACAGTTGCATATTGAATAATATAGCAAGAATTAGACTTGAGATCCCACCCCTAGCTCTGCTTAGAAAGGATTAGTGTACTATCAAGAGACCTGCTGAGATAAGGAGTTTGATAACATGGGTGAGAATGTAGGAAACATGTCAATGGAGGTGTTGAAGCAGTAGGGCCTCATAGATGACACAACCTTGTAAGTAGGTGCCTTTAAGACCCTGGTGAACTTTATTTCCAGCCAACACATTCTCTTGTGCTGGAGCTTGAATCACTTCATGTAGTGCCCTGCCAGGTCCCTTCCACTGATTAGATTCCTGTCCCTATGCGTCTAATACTCATTTCATCTATCTTTGCATCACCTTACACCCCTCCCCCAGATTTGCCTTGTGTGAAACACACATTTCACATTTCTCCTACTGGAGTGTCATCTCCTTTAAGACAAGTGAGCTGTCATCATCATCTTTGCATTCCTCATTGTTCCCAGCACAATTTCCAAACACATTCAATACTTCGTTCCAAATATAATGTGTAGATGCATTTGTGTGTCAGGTCATAAATAGTTGGTGAAAGGGGGAAAGAAGGGGCGAGGGTCAAAAGAATAGAAAGAAAGAGACAAAGAACCTTAGCAGAGCTCTGAGTCAACAGCAGGGAAGCCAGTAAAACTCAGGCTGGCTTAATGAATTATTCTGAGTTATCCATCTTAATGATAAAAAGTAGTTGCTCTTACAAATCTAAGCTTGACATGTATTAGTTTGAATCGGCAAAGCTTTGTAAAGCGAGTTTCAGCGGGGAAAGGAGACATCACCTAACCATGCTCAAGCAGTTGCTTGCACATTACAATTCCATACTAAAGATAGCAACCTTCTTGTCCTGGAACGGCAGGTCCACTGAAGCTGTAGAGGGAAGAGGAGAAAGGGAGTTAACATTCAACAAATGCCCTCCAACCTGTGCCCTCTATGCTTCCTACTAGATTTGATTTGACTCTCACAACTACCCTCTCGTTTACGGGAACTTTTTCTAAGATTTTGTTGGGAACTCAAACTCTGAAACTGAACTACCGGCGAGTCGATTCCATCTCAACGTGACCCTAGAGGACAGGGCAGAACTCCCCCTGTGGGTGTCCAAGATTGTCTGTCTTTACCGGGATTAGAAACCCTAACGTTCCTCGCAGAGGCTAGTGGTCTGCAACTGGGGCTTTGCAGTTCCGAGTCCAATCTGTAACCGATGCCACCAGGGTTCCTTTCTGTTGGGAAAGGGAATCAACAATTGACGTCTGGGAGAAAGACAGGGCTTTCTACTGCAATAAAGAGTGACAGTCTAGGAAACTCATAAGGGACAGTGCTACCCTGTCCTATAGGATCGTTAAGAGCCGGCATCCACTCCAGGGCCGTCAGTTTGCTTTGGTTTGAAGGGTATATACTCTACCTTCACGAGGAGGGAGATTAACCCTAGTATTTGTAGCTCAGGAGGAGTCCTTGTGCTCTTTTTCTGAGATTGTATTCTGTGAAATCTCACTACAGTGGAAGGCCCAAGGTCTGTTACAGTCCAGGTGTCTACCATTGAACCCTTGCCTGCGTGTTCCTTCTCCTGGGGCAGGGACCGTATTTACCGTATTTCAGAAGCAGACATGACGTGAAGGCACTCGTGGGTGCTGCGTGAGGTGGTCAACTCGGGCCCAGGTGGAATTTGCGGGTTCAGAGATGTAGTCAGTAAACAGGGATAGCAACCAGGACCACTCTCTTCCTCTATTTCCGTCTCATAGAAATATAGAAGGATTTTGCAATCAGACTTGGGAGATGGTTTTCTTGGTTCTTACAGCAAGTTGGAAGATAAACTTTGGCCAGTGTATTACACTATGCCCTTTGTAATGAAACAACCCAAGATAATGTGTTAAAGTTTAGTGGAGATTGAAATTCCTGAGCTGACTAGAGAGCGCGGTTAAGACCACACGGTTTAAACGTTTCTATCACTTATTACTTTCCAATCTTGCAGAAGGGCTCAGCATTAAATAATAAAAAACGAGACCGTACACTCCAACGCCAAGGCTTGGCCTGAGCAGGAAGGACTTCGAATTGTAGTCATTGAAGGTCAAGATGAAAGCGCTGTTTCGGGAGATAAATCTGCCTGTGTGTGCACGATGGGCTGGGGTGGAGAGGAGATATAAGCAGGGAGGCCACCCCGAAGATACTGCACTATTCCGAGCGAGGTGCTAAGGGAGGGGCTGCAATAGGAATGGAAAGAAAATGGGAATGCCTGCGGCCAACACTAGGGTGACCCGGCACACGGGGCAGGGCGAGCGAGGAAGGGATCAGAAAGAAGGGCTTCGTGTTTTCCGGGGACCCGAAGTCTTCGGCAACAAGCCCTTTACCTTCCTTCTACGCTTAGAACGGACATCCTTCGGCCAGTTTAGGAGACCAAGCCTCAAGCTGCTTTGGCCAGCGAAAGCCGCAGGAGAGGCGGACCCACCAAGCGGGTCCTCCTGCCCCTTCGCTCCCCGCCTCCGCAATCCCGCGGCCTGACCCCTCCCTCCTCTCCGTTCCCGTCCTCGGCCGGCCCCGGGCGCTGCGCTCGGCCCCGCCCTTCCCCCCTCCCCCGCTCCCGTGGGGCGCTGACTCGCCCAGCTGCCACGTCTCACTGATGACATCACCAGGGCCGCTCGGCCTTAGCCAATCCGCCAGGGGGAGTCCGAGCGAAGTCCTAGCCAGCGAGTCAGTGGGGAGGGACCTGGGAGGAGCTGTCGGGTGGGGGGGGTGAAAGAGTGGGGAAATGGGGCGGGCCACTGCCCTTCAAGTGCGCATGTGCCAGAGGCGCAAGGCTTGGCGGGAAGTTGAGTCCTGGCTGCGCCTCACTGTGAGTTCTCAGCGCCCACAGCGGCAGTTCGTGACTCTCTTTCCCGGCATGCCAAGCGGTGCGGCCGCCCTCTGGGCTGTGTAAAGGCCCCCCGGTCTAAGACTTCCCTATTTCCTGGTTCGCCGGCGGCCATTTTGGGTGGAAGCGATAGCTGAGTGGCGGCGGCTGCTGATTGTGTTCCAGGGGGACTTAGTCAGGGAAGACGTTTGCTTTCCTGAACAGCCTATCTTATTCCTGCCGTTTGATTACCTGTGGCGCGGAGAGTCAGGGCGGCGGCTGCGGCAGCAAGGGCGGCGGTGGCGGCAGCGGCGGCAGCTGCAGTGACATGTCCAGCATGAATCCCGAATAGTGAGTGCAAGGGAGCACCGGTCGCCTGGGCCTTTGGCCCAGCAAGGGGAAGCTCAAAGGGGGCTAGGCGGGGAGGATGGGAGCACCGACCGGGGTGAGGGGCTGGAGAGGCCGTCCGGCCGGGAGCCGGGCCCCATTGTCTGAGGGCTGAGGGGCGGGCCTGCGGGAGCCCGGACGGGGTCGGGGTGAAGGCCGAGCGCGGGCCCGCTGCGGAGGAACGGGCCGGGAGAGTCAGCTGAGGGGGGCCGGGGCCCTGGGAGTTGAGTGGTGGGAGCTCTCCCGGGAGGGAGTGACTTTGGAAGGACTTATTTTTACGGCGAGGGGTGGGGTGAGGGATCGGTCTCGGCCGAAGGGCGCTGAGAGCCCCTGCGCCTGGTCGGCGAGGCTGTCGGGGTCGCCCGGGTGAGAACCGGCTTTCCTGGTCAATCCTGAGCCTGTCCGCTGCCTCGTCTCGCGCCCTCCCCGCCAGGTTGCAGGTAACATGGATGCTTTTCAGGACTGCGTGGGATTGAGGGAGATGGGGAGACGGGGAGAAGCGATGTCAGGTTTTCCGCCCCGAGTTCTCTGAGGGGAGTTCTTTGAGAACTCGCCGGGCCCCTTGCTTTCTTAAAAACCTGGGCCATTTGGGAAGGTTTTCCGCCCTCGTCATTTTTCTTTTCCACAGAGGACGTTGAAGTCATTTCTGTCTTCTGTAGGTCGAAGGAAAAACAAAACGGAAAAACCCAGCGCCGTCCTCCGGCTCTTGTCCGCGTAAAGGAGGCCTTCGCTGTCGGGTTGAGAGAGGCACGACTGGGACCAGGGATAGATCCGTCGGTTTCGTGTTACCTGCTTGAATAAGCGCTTGCAGATAGGGAATGAGGTTCCATGACGTGTCATGAAAAGTTAATGAATTTTTTTTTCTTGCTTACTCAACAAGTCACCATAGCAGACGTGACACACCTGGCTCCTGTCCTGGGAACTGGTTGGTGTTCACTTTCTTGGGGAGACTTTGTCAAAGGGTGCTTCCTCAGCGTCCCTTAAAAAAAAAAGAAAAAAAACGTGGTTCTGCAGTATTCTTTACCCCCCCTCCCTGTATATGTAAATTAACCATCGCAGTAGATTAAATTGATAGCCCTCTCTAGCGTCAGAAGTGTTTAGGAGGAGTGGGGAGATGATTCTTAAAGCAAAATCAGTATTTGCCCCCAAAGTTAGGTTTCTTTGCTTCTCATTTTCCCCTAAAAGGTCCACCACCCATCACTTTAGCTGACTGTCATGTGTGTGTCACATGACGCTTGCAAAATGCATTCTGACTTGGAAGTTTTGTAATGCTGTGGTTTATGCGGAAATGTTCCCCTTTTTTCTGTACTTAAGAGAAGCTGTTGTGTTATATTAGAATTTTATATACTTTAAGAAGTTGAAAAAAAAATAAAAGTTGAGAATAGTGTATTAGAGTGACATATTTACTCTGCTGAAGCTTATTTCTCCATTAGGGGCTCCAAGGACAAAATTGGATTAGCAGAGTCGAACTTTTAAGTCCTTAATATAGTAGTCTTCTTGGAAACAGTAGAGAATATGGGCTTGCCATTTTGTCGAGATTTACTGTTGAATTTCAGGGGGTTCTACTGTTTGCTACAGGCATGGAATACGGTCGACAGAACTATGTGTTGAGCAGGACCTTGACAAGTTATTTATTTAGCCTCTGAATGGGTTTCTTTTTGTAAAATAGTATAATGGGAATCATTCCTGTCATTCCTATCGGGATACTGTACTTGAATGTGAAGTTCAAACTCTTAAGAGTACTGCTCTCTGGGTGGTACATAGACCTCATCATGTAAGGCACTAGAGTAGTGCTTAGGGTTTATGGACAAAGCCCTTATTATTAAGAAGTTCATAATAGAATATAGAAGATAGACTACCTATCGGGCAAACATCAGTATTACAGCAAGTTCAGGTAGGTGGCATGGAGCCATGCTGCAAGGTGTCACAGGAGGGTGAGTGGTTTGGTTCACAACTTAGAAGCAGTAAAAAGTGTATCCTTCATACAAAGGGACTTCTGAGGAAATGGGAAGCAGAAGAGAGCGAGTATTTTCAAAGGGGAAAAGGAAGAAGAGGAATGGCTAATAAATGGCAAGAACTTATTTTTAAAGAACGGAATATTTTACTCCTGTTAAATTTTTTGCGGAATTTTCAATAACATGATGAAAACTTAGTGTTGAAAGGGGGAAATCATTTATTACCCTATTTAAGGTAAGATTGTAATTATATTAGAATATACTTGAGAAAACTGGAGGGAAATTCTTTAAAATATTAATGGTGGTTTGCTGAATTCTAAGTTCTTTTCACACCTTTGTTTACCCTTTTCTGTTAATATGTTTTGTTTTTATAGTTGTAAATTTCTTCATGTCCTAGATTATATGGGCAGTATGTAGAAAATACCTTGTCAGCACATTCTTTTTAGGACTATGAATTATTAACGTTAACAGAATCAAACCAAAATGTAGTTTTTATTTTACTTTTTTTTTTTCCGCATTTGAGTATTCTCCATTAGCCTGGTGGTTTTTATATTCTAGATTGTGCCCAATAAGATACTCTAGGAATTACAGAAAACCTTTGGGAAAGTGCTAGTGAAAATTACTTGGGGTGAGAGGAGGTTATGACTTAATTAGGGGAGCTTATAAAGTGTTGCTGGCAACCGATTTTTGAAGTCTGACTTGCTGGTTTCTAATCAGTTTCTTTAATAGTTTGCTGCTGTTGTAGAATAATTAAGAAAGCAAAGTCTTAAGAGTTTTAACAACCAAAGATACGCTTCTTTTCTTTTTTTTTTTTTTAATCATTTTATTGGGGGCTTGTACAACTCATCACAATTCATACATACATCCGTTGTGTCAAGCACATTTGTACATTTGTTGCCATCATCATTCTCAAACGCTTCATTTTTTAACACCTTGTTCTAAACTTTAAAATCTTACATTTAACTCTTAGGTTAACATTTTAATGATGGTGATTTTAGGATGTTACTTAATTGCTAACATTTACAGTCACTGTATGCCATATTCTGTACTAATGTTTCAGAATGGTATGACAGCTAATGATTAGATGTGCCCCTCAAGTGTTCCTTAACATATTAGTCTACTAATTTATATTACTCCTTTTATATAGTTTATATATGTCTTATAAATGCTACTTATTTAGTAATGAAAAATGGGTTCTTAACCAAAAAAATGTTTGGTTATTTAGAAGAAATAAAAACTAGATTTATGTTGGCTGACATAAAACTACCTGTTATCTTTATTACTGAATGCTTTTACTTTACGATGATTTAGGTTGTAAGCTTTTTGCTTGGGGAGAGAGAGGACTATATCAATCATTTTAAACTACCCCTTTAGCACCTTCCCATCCTGTCTGGCTGATTTGAGGGAAATGACCACCCAGGATTATTTTTACAATAGAAGTTAAGTATAATGACTGACTTGTAAATTTGAGCTACAAACTAAAAAAGTAATTGGAAGTGTAATCTGGATGGTAGAAAAGTAGATGGAAAAAAGATCAGAGGTTCCCCCCCCCCCTCAGGAAATCTGAAGAAAGATTTTTATTTTCTTAGTGGGGTGGGTGGGTGAAGCAGGCAGTGATTATTTGAGCACACTGGATAAGAAATACTTAGCATTATTCTCATGCCAGAAGCTTTTTTATAATCCATTAACTTCTAAACTCATCACAGTATTTTTTCAGTGCTGAGATAATCATAATGAGACCTGGCTCTTTAATGTTTTATAAAGCGTGTACACCTATCATGAATACATCAGAGTGCTATAGTAGGGAGAACTATAGTAGCATATTTGGACAAGCTGTAGGAAAAATGTTAAAGCAGTTGCCTAGTTTTGTTTTTTTCCCTTCTCCCATTTGAATCTCAAGATTTAATCATTCTTTCAAACTTTGCTCTCCTATCCATGATAGATTCAAAGAAGCTGCTTTATCAGCCCTGTGCTGCTGCTTTTTCCCCTTATGCT